AATCGTAGATGGGTTTCGGTTGAGGCAGTTATGCGACGTAAACGACACTTTTTACCTGGGTTGACAATACACTGGGAAAGTTAACACTGTTACCAACGTTGCCGTATCGTCATAGAATGGGGACCGGAACCCTCACTGATATCACCACCCTTAGTAAACCTCTATGGGGTTCGTGTAGACCAAGATTTACCTATTATAGTCTCACCTATTTACGTGTACAATAATCTAAAACTTATAAGCCTCAAATACATTAATAAGAAATTAACGAAAAACCAATTAAAAAATATCTTATAAAATATATTATACACACTGGATGGGGCTGTACCCAGTCGTAGAAGAAGTAGCAAAAACAATGGAAATCGTAGATGGGTTTCGGTGGAGGCAGTTATGCGACGTAAAACGCCAACTAGAACAAGATCGCGATATACGGGCGTCATTAAGTAAGAAATACCATAAAGCTTTCAATTACGTGGATCGGGCTGATACCACCCTTATGGCAACCAGCATGGGATTAGGGAGCAGTAGGTGTCGGTTTGTTGACCACCATCATAGCCGCACCCATAGTGCTGGGCATTGAAATAACAGCTGGGGTGTCCGGGTTGGTGGGGTTGGTGTTTAAGTTTGCATCTCGCAAGTTACATCGTAAAGCGTGGAAACACGACGAAATTAGAATTCTGGGCAAAGCAAAGTTAAACACAATTTCCACCGCACTCACTGACAATAAAATCTCAGAGGAAGAATTTCGTTTGGTCTTCTCTGAACTCGCAAAATATCAAGTCAAAACATTGATTACACAACAGTCTCGTTTCCTGTTGACTGGGTTCCGCCCTACTGCGCAACTTAGTACAATAACCAGTCCAGAATTTTTTATACCAATTCATGTAACTGGATACATAAATATTAATCAGTATTATTTGATACATCTAAGCACTTGTATATTGCAATACTACGCTCCTTATAATCCCCCTTGCAAACATGTCGAGCAGCGTGCTCTGTCGTACAGCGAGCACTGACAAACAGAAACCGGGAAATCGTGGAAATCTCAAAACGAGGCTCTGCCGCTAGAAAAGTTTGGCGGTCTGGTACGGACTTGATATTATATTAATCACATTGTGCGTTACAAACCTTCACTGGATAAGTGCAAAAAACACATAACAGGTGTAACCAGTGAGCCAGATGCATTGTGAATCATTTTACGACCTCATCAAACTGGGGCAGTCTGAGACGTCTTAGTTAAGGTCATGCTGCCTACACATCGCCATAAAATATAGAAATACGATGTTATTAAAGTTTAAAATTGAAATTCAGTTGTAAATACCATTTTCATATGAAACAAGGAACTGGAATTCAGTGCAACCGTAGTTGTTTGTGATGTCTACTTTCACGTTCACACGCGAAAATTCCGATCGGCTGAAAAGTAGGTCATTGTCTGAATAGGTTAATGAGACTCATGTTTCGGTTTGACAGAATGAAACAAGAGATTAGGTCCAAGTCTCGTAAAAGCACTGCCATCAGTGAAGACGAGAAAAAAAGTACGTAGAACAAGGGATACAACAAGCCCAACAAGCTTTCATTACGAAAACCAAAGAAATCATAGGCGATTCACATTAAATTGTTTCGCTGAGATCAACATTGTATAGGGCGGTCACAATAGTGGCACGTGACCAGGAAAGTGCCGATTCGCGGTCATAGTGACCAGGAACTTGGCTGGGGATTCAAAAGTGGCATGCACACTAGCGGGGAGAGATAAGGGACTGACAAAAGCTTTATTTAATCAATAAAGCTTTACAGAGTCTCCTTGTTGGCCTGTAAATGTGTAAACAATGGAGCACTACACGCTAATGACGACATGTACTCAGATGTATTTAGGCGTTGTCGTGGTTGCACGCTAATGACGACATGTACTCAGATGTATTTAGGCGTTGTCGTGGTTGCAGGCTAATGATGATGTGTATGCAGAAGGAGTTGGGCGTTGTGGTTGCACAATAATGATAACATATTAATGATGAAACACGGGCTGGCTTTACAGCCAATTATTCAAACACAGAAAACATATTTTCATTACAGGCCATTAAACATAACTATGGAAGATTTTACTGTCTGTTTATTGATTTCTCTAAAGCTATTGTTTCTATAAAGCATGATGTCCTTTTCAAAAGTCTTAATGATGATGGTATTTAAGGTAAATTTCTTGACATTGTTTTATCTATGTATTCCAAACTTAGTGCTTGTGTTAGGACAAACAAAGGTTTGTCAGGTCATTTCTGAGTTATGGAGGGTTAATTCTTGAAAGAAGTTGAGAAGATACAGGCTAAGCTTTGTAAATGGTATTTACAGGTTGGTCGAAAGACAGCAGATTGCATGGGTGTCAGAATACCACTTATGGCTGTATATATGACTAAAACTATGACATATTGGTGTAGACTTATTCATTTAGATAACTCAAGACTACCTTTCCAGTGTTATGAGGAGCTGAAGTAAATAATGATAAAAGTTCTAATTGGGTCACACACATAGAAAACATATTACTTAGGTGTGGATTTAGATTGGTATGAATATCACAGGAAGTTGGAAATGTTAAATATTGTATATCCTTGTTTAGGCAGACACTTTTTTGTGATAACCTTCAGCAAGAACGACTGAATGATTTATCTAACTAATCAAAGTGTATGCGTTATAAACAATTTAAGTCATACTGAATGTTGAATCTTATCTCACATGTAATATTCCATTAAGACTCAGATCCACTTTATCAAGATTTCGATATAGTAATTTTGGTTTGACTGTAGAAATTGGAAGATATTGTAACATTTTGTACTCTGAAAGGTATTGTCCATTTTCTACATTGAATAAGGAATTATATATCGAAGATGAGTAGCATGTAATGTTTATCTGTAATAGTTACAGTTCACTTAGAAAAACTTACTTTTGTAAATTTACTCAGAAAGATTGTCAACCTGTACAACACTTTGTACATTTGATGTCCTCAGCAAATAATAATATTATTCATAATGCATGTCATTATCTGGAGAAAGTCCAAAGATTAAGGAAAAAGATAAATATTACTTCATTACTTCGCACATGGGTCAAACATTCTGTAAAGACTGTATTTTGGGTTTTTCGGCCTTTGACTTAAATACATCTGTCTGGAACGTTATCAGTAAATGACGTATTAATTCGGGGGTGAGGGGTGTGGTGGAGGCGGTGGGTGGGAGTGTCCTTTATTCCAAAAAAGGACGAGCAATGCGATATGCTCTGATGTTATTGTGAGAAATATAATTTTCGTAAAAATTACTAATTTCAATAAATCGATGAAACACTAATTATCCCATGACATTGATATAAACTGTCCACCTGTCCCGGGGTAAGCATGTTACCCATTATTATAAACCCTTCGATATTTGTGCGTGAAACCGCATGCACACACCAGGGAAGTGTTAAACTGGTGCCTTTTTGCCAGGTGTCCTCCCAATACGTAGACAGCCAGTTCGCAGACACCTTAAAACAACAACATTTACGGTTCAATGAACAGATTATCTACTACCTGTTACGTACACATTATAATGGAATAGTCCAAATATAAACACAGGAACAAACTGAAGATATATTATTTATTTTGAAAGATGGACGAAAAGACAGTAATTTGAATTTTATTGCTGCAATATAAAAACAGTTTATTTATTAACAGGTTATTTATTTTCATAAACGTTTCGGTTTAACCTTCTAGTTTAACTGGAGTCGGCATCATCATATTGAAAACATTAGCTTAACTATTAGAAATTGCGGCACTGTTGTATCGTATAAATCAAATATAGATAAATGTGAACCTAAATATTATTCATTTGGAATAAAGAAGTTATATGTTTTGCACACAATCTTAAGATATATGACGAGTGCACTTAGCTACGAATTATTTAGAATAAATATTTAAAATATGACGCATCATGTCAATGTGGCCATGGATGTGAGAATGTTTTTCATTACCTCCTTGAATGTCCATTGTATACTACTCAAAGACATAAAGTGTTACAGTCTTTAGAAAGTATTGAAATTAGAACACTGATTGGTATTAATTGTATCTTACATGGCAATGCAGGTGTCTCATTTACTGCAAATAAGAATGTTTTCAAATATGTACATATCTATATCTCTCCAACAAAACGTTTTCTCAGTTAACTTCTGTTGTACATATGCTATTATTGGGAGGGGACTTTTTTATCAATAAACACAATCAAACCTCTCAGTGACAAACCTGTTTTTATATTCGATAGTAATTGATAGTAAAATCAATTTTGAGAAGAGAAATCATTTAATCACAACAAAGTTCTATTTACCCACAATCAAACTTGTCAGTAACGAACCTGTTTCAGGCTCACCCTGCTCTACTCACTAGACAGTGGACTGTTCTATTATACCCGTAGGTGTTACCCTAATTACCTTCTAGTTCAGTGTCTGTCAATTGGGTGTCTGTCAAATGGGTGTCTGTCAAATGGGAGATAACCTTTTGCCATTGTAGGGTTTGACAATTAAGTACTTCTGTTTGCTTTTGTCTGTTTTATTCTCAGATCACCACAATAAAGACGGTATATTGCTTAATGTAGTGTTGCGTAAACAACACACCTTATCGGTCCGGGGATATCAATTTGTCAATTGTAAAAATGTCAGTTCAATTACAATATTTTAAGGTTAGCATCTCCATTGTCAGGATTGATCAAAATTTATTTAATAGCAGTGTCTGCAGCTATCACCGCTTTCAATTTCAAAACAGTATCATTTCATATCATAGCAACCTTCGGTAGTTTACAAATTTTATATATTCTAAATATTACGACCTACACATAATAATGTTATTTCTGAGTGTGATGAACAAATAATGTTATTACTTTTTACTTACAGCTGTCGAGCTGTCTGTGCCGTGAGAGATTTGTGCGCTCTGTCGCTGGGAACAGGTACCCTACCCTCTAAGGCGCAGATATCGCATGCATGAAACCGAGGCTGATAACACCTTTTATGGACCTGTTTATGCGCAGTTGCTATTTGACGAGCCGTGGACACAGATGTTTAGCGAGGGTAGCAGGAAACAGGTAAGGTTTCATACTGAACGTCTTTCAATATGTTCTCTAAATTAGCTTTTTACACTCACTCTCCCTCTCCCCACATCTCTCTCTCTCTCACCTACACCGACACCAACACACTGGTGGCTTTCTGTGGAATATTTCGGTCCCATGTCTTCTGGAAGAAAAACAGTAGTGTATCTGACCATGGCGTAACTATCACAGTATATTGAGTTGATGGGAAGATTCGTACATACACACACGCATGCACACATATATACATACATACACATACAGGCAGACAGGCAGATATGCATACACGCAGACAGGAGACTCATACACACAGACACATGCACGCAGGCACGCACGCACGTAGGCACGCACGCAGGCAGGCAGGCAGGCACGCACGCACGCACATACATACATACATACATACACACACATGCATGCATGCATACATACATACATACATACATACATACATACACACACACATACACACATACATACAAACATATATACATACATACACACACATACATACAAACATACATACATACATACATACATACATACATACATACATACATACATACATACATACATACATACATACATACATACATACATACATACATACATACATACATACAAAATCAGACATAGACATAAACGATGTTGACATATAAGTGTTGTAGTTTTCAGGATGTCAAAGGTTTCAACCGGACCAGTGACATACAAGAGCATCGGAATGAATGGACAGAGCGACATGGGTAAGTCGGAACACATGTTTAGGATTGTTGACCATGAACCCTCTACAGTGATGACAGTGCATGATATGTCCATGACTTCAACCACAGTTCATGCTAGATGCTAAATAACAAGTTCTTCTATCTGTGCTGTCTGGGCGGTGGGGTAGCCTAGTGGTTAAACCGCTTGCTCGGGTTCGATTCCCCACAGGGGTACAATGTGGGAAGCCATTTCTTGTGTCCCCCCGCACTGATATTGCTAGAATATTGCTAAAAGTGGCGTAAACCTAAACTCACTCACTTTTTGTGCTGTGGGATTATAGTTGCAAGTCAACTCAGATTTGTCTTACAAAGGACTGATGCCCGGCAGTTCACTTTCAAATAAGAGCAAGATGAAAGGAAAGTATTATATATAGAATTATACAATATCCACAACACGTCATCTACAAAGAGAGACATTTATCTTGCAGAGAGAACACTGAGAGAGAAAACTGTCATCATCCCTGAGGGCGAATACGCCACAATTCGAGAAGAATTCGTCCAAAATGTGATACGTTACAGAGCGAAAGGATCAAAGTTGAGGGAGGATGTCCCCTTCATCGTCATATATCTGTCTTCATCTCGCATTAAAGATGAAGAGGGGCTCATTTTTGACAAATTAAGAGGTAGATCATTTTTACAAGTCTGTCAAGTCTATAGACTAGTATTTCAATAGAATGAAAAGAGTGATTGCTTCCACATGTTGAATAAAGGCTTACCATTTTAGTAAGAGTCGATGTCTATATTTGAACAGCATAAATATAAAATTACTACCATTAATATATACTGTTAGAATGAAGATTGTGTCACAAATGTGTGTGTTTACAAATTTGACTCATGTTTCAGAAAACATTTATGAATGTTTTTTAGCTTTATCATTACATAATCATATTTCTCCCTCAGGTTTGCCTTCGGCTATATTGATAATTGCATCAGTCGGAAAGGATTCTGAAGTAAGCATCGACCTTCCTAGCGACTTGGAATCTACCGACAAAGACAACTTGCGTCTTTTTATTAAAAACGGACACATTCTCAACGATGATATGGACAACGAATGCATGTTTCAACGTCTGCTTCCCTACTGTTGTCAACTGGAGCGTGGTGGGATAGATTATATAAAGGAACATCCGATTCAAATTGGCATTGGTGGCGTTGTCGTGTGTTTGATCATTGTGATAGTGGCACTTACAATACACTTTGCGGATCGGGACAACGAATAGAACACCAATATCGTGTTCACGTTGACTATTATGAAACAGCGGGGCCATCGGTTATACTCCGCTGCATTTGATTCGAGAATGTCACCATGACATGTACAACTATGTATTGCATATTGACAAAAAGATCATTTGGCACCAGCTGCTTACCCGTCGTGACTGATTCTAACAACGTTTTTCCACTCATGTTAATGAAACCACTTCGTAGTTTTAGCACTGGCAACATGAATGTTTAATAAACAAACCACTTACAGTTGAGTTGTGTCATTAATATGATTTTGTTTTTCTACCATATGGGTAGAAGAAAGAGGTCATTGTATAGTTAATATTTCAATTTATATTGACACTGAATCCAAATGTCCATGACATTCGTAACATATACTACATTTTTTCTGTAGAAAAAAGTATCTCCATTTGGTTTAAACATATTTTTATTCCTAGATAGTCTGGTTTGGTAAACAAGCAGAACTCTGCTTATATCAATACCTCACCAGTACATATATCATTTAAACAAAATACACAAGAACTGGATACAAAAACCGACAAATTAAATCATATATGTGCGTTGTAGGTGCTTATAAACATTGAGCTTGCAGCTACACTTCATTAATTGATTGCATATGATTGTTAGTATAATTTGTCAAATCGTTTAGACTTAAAGATGTATTGATGCAGGGACTCTATCATTTTCTTATTGACGTTGTTGTTTGCCGGAGGTATTCCGTATAACACAGTTTGGAGATTGTGGATATTTACATAGAAGTAGGTATTAATTCTAATAGCAGTGTATAACTTACATGTAAAAAGATAATGAACAGTATCTTCATTGTGGTATCCACAAGCGCATCCAGGGTCGTTAGAAATGTATCTATTTACTTTATCCGCATTCAAATCACTACAGCCGAGCTTAAGTCGACAGTGTACGATCTGACAGAATCGACTGCCATAATTTAGATCTAGATAATTATTTGATTCATCATTTTTAAGCAGAGATTTGAATTCACCGATTGAGTTAGCAAATACTTAATTATCAGATAATGAATTCCAAGTTTTAATTGTGTCAGGTAGGAACGACTTTTCATATATTTTAGTCCTACAATTTATTGTTTGTAACTTAAATTTATTACGGAGATTATATTGACTGTTTTCAGAGACAAAGTTAGGGACAAGGTCACAGAGGTAGTCAGGTGCGAGATCGTTATTCATCTTGTAAAAATTTATGAGTTTAATGTCGCGCCTTCTTTCTTTTAATGGTTTAGACTTTGTTTCGATATATAACCTATGATCTATGATGACTAGTGCCACGAACTGCGCCGCATGTTGTACGAAGTGCATTTCGATGTAACCGTTCAAGAATAAGGGACTGGTCATTTGTACAATTATCCCAGATATGACAACAATAGTCAAATATCGGCATCACAAACGATTTGTACATGGTTTCTAGCGTTTTTCCGGAGAGGCGATATTTAAAACTTCGAAGACAATTTATCATGGGGCTAACTTTCTTAATATCTTCAATATGACTTTTCCATCCACAATCACTTTGTAGAGTTATACCCAGGTGTTTATGACTTTTCACTTCTCGTATCAGGGTTTGGTTCATGTTCAAGGTCGGAATCGTGTCGTTTTTATGTTTACGAGAAAAATTGATTGTTTCGGTTTTATCAGGGTTGAAGGTAACTTGCAACTTGTCTGCCCAGCTAGAGATACGGTTTAAATCATCGTTCAGACAGGATGCGGCAGTATCATGATCATCTACAATTACGTTAAGTGAGGTGTCGTCAGCAAATAAACGGATGTGGCTTTTTATACCATCTACTAAATCATTTATGTATACAATAAAAAGTAAGGGTCCCAATACGGAACCTTGTGGGACGCCAGCAAGCAAAGGTTTATAATCGGAACTGTATCCATCAATGACGACTTTTTGTGATCTGTTTTGTTAATACCTTTCAAACCAATTCAAAAGTGATCCACCAATTCCATAGCTTTTAAGTTTAGAAATGATGCCCTTGAACCATACCTTATCAAATGCCTTACTAATGTCACACAAAAACAGCTCTGACCTCTTTACCTTTATCAAGTCCTTTCGCTATGAAATCATACAAATAAGTTAATTGGTTAGCGGTAGAGTCGCCTGGCATAAAACCCGATTGTAAATTGGTTAAAATATCATTGTCTCTAAAGAAATTAAATACATGTTTAAAAACACCTTTAGTAAGCTCGTAAGTGCGACCGGTCTGTAATTGGAACATTCATTTACACTATCTTTTTTATGGAGAGGCATGACTGACACTTCCTTCCAGACGGCTGGAAAAGTGAATTTCTGAAGAGACATGTTAAATAGTTTTGTTAATAGAGGAGCTAAACTTTTCGCCATGGCTTTCAGAAATCTATTTCCTATTCCATCTGGTCCTGTAGCTTTTGATGGATCGAGAGAGAAGAGAATATCTTGAACTTCATAAAGTGTAAGATTGACTACATTTAGTGAGTCTGTAGTAAGTTCAAAATGACATTGGGGAGGTCGTAAATCTGGATTTTCTATTGTAGACTGACTCACAAAGAAATCATTCAAACATTTTCAATGTCTACGGGGTCGTCGTAGATAATGTCATTTGATATGATTGGTGGAAAGTAGTTACTTTCAGACTTTTTGTTAACATATTGTTTTACCAAACGCCACCATGTTTTTGTACCCACTGAGGAATTTATCCTATCTTCAATTTTTAAATCACAATTTCTTTTGAAATCGCGTATTAAGTTGACAACTTTATTTCTGACTAATCGGAAATTAGCCCAATCGGAACGACGGTTTCAATTTTTAGCTTTCTCATGAAAACGATTTCGCTTCCGTATTGCAGAACGGATTTCGCTATTCATCCGTACGGGATCTTTAGCTCTAACATTGACCAGTCTGTTTGGTGTACTGATGATTAATATGTACTTTATTTTTTCCGTTAGGATTTCTACTGCAGTGTCAATGTTACCAGAGGAAAATATTTCGTTTTCATCAATTTCGTTAAGATGTCTTTGAACACACTCTTTATCCATAGATTTAAAATCGTACACGAGTCTTTTAATAACAACATCAGTTTTGAAAATTTTATCTTTTACCGTTACGAAAATTGGACAATGATCGCTGCATATAGGATCGAGTACGCCTGAGCTAAGCACGCTATTTTCATGGGTAACAAAAATCAAATCAATTAAAGTGCTAGAGCTATGCGTAATTCGTGTTGGTGCATTTATGATCTGGTTTATCCCATACAAACGTTTTAGCGTTTCTATATAAATGTTACTTTCATTTTGAATATCTATATTAAAGTCACCGGCAATAACAGTGAACATGTTTAAATCAATTGCCATATCAAATGATTGAACAATCAAATCCCAGTATTGTTCACTTTTGTCCGCGCGGTAAAACGTACCAATGAGATAATTTCTAGCTTTGCATTTAATTTTTACCCATAACGCTTCAAGACCCGCAATGTCTAAAGCTTCTATACCGTCTACACATAAGTATTCTTTGACATAAATGGCCATGCCGCCGCCTCGTGTTAAACGATCCTTTCTAAATGGAATGTGAAAACCTGGAATTAGTATATCATTGCTATTAATATTATCATTCAGCCAGGTTTCTGTTAAACATATCACATCAAAGTCTAAAAATTCTGCATGAATGATGTCAATTTTATCTTTGAGACTTCTGACATTGAGATGTATTATCTTTAGGTTTTCTATCAGTATTTGGTCCCGGGTTTGGGTGAATATCTCCGCAACAAAGTAAAAGGATGGTGATAAATATGGAAATAGACGGTTGATACAAGCATCTAAAGTTAAAATAAAATAAAATATATAGACCTGAAGATTATATGCATTTCTTGCATGAAGAGTAACTGCAAAGCATCCCACTGCCTGCCTGTACTGCGTTATGTCAACAGACATGTTACATATGTATCTACAAAAGATTTAGAAAAGCCGACAGTGGGATCACATTGTGAAACCAAAAGGTCATCAAGCACACGTGCACGCGAAATATGATAATTGTGAAAATGATTTGTTGGAAATTGGTCATATTTTTACAAAATAAACACAAAAAGAAAGAAAAAATAATAACATGATAATACTCATTGAGTTTTTAAAAACAAAAAGGAGAAGAAGCCCAACGGGTTTAAATTACCAAATAAGTAAATCAATAAATTCAGGACCAGTCATTGAAAGTGGACATAAATATAAAAATATTGAATCAAAATTACATTAAGTCTAGCGCAGTCACTGTTGAAACACGCGTGTCATGAAAGACACGTTCTGCACGTGCGTTGCCTTCACATGTTGTACATTTCCTAACAGGTTGTGACAGGTGTTTGAGCAATGGATAGTTGGATACCCCAACTTGTGATGCAAACAAA